AGCCAAATTTTCGATGTTTTCCAAGAGTTAATGATATAAAAATTAACACAAACTCTAAAGAAAACTATAAGGAACTCATCGAACATTTTACATCAAGAAAATACCAATTCCACTGCTACCAAATCAGAAAGGAAAATCATATAGAGTAGTCTTGAGAGGTCTGCACCCGACTACCACCACAAGCGCTAATAAAATCGGATTGGAAAAAATACGCCTCAGTGTTAGGATCATATCATCCGTATTACATCCTAGGGAAAATATCCAATACCTCTATTCTTCGTGGATCTGGAACCAGCAAAACAATTCCGAAATATTTCAGGTAACGCGATTAGTTTATTCAACTGTCCGTTTGAACTTAGACGTAAGCCCATAGTAGTGCAGTGCACAAATTGTCGAAATCTGAGACATACCAAAACCTATCACGAGGCCAGATGTGTGAAGTCTGCAGATTCACACGCATCAGACACCTGTCAGAAACTAAGGTAAGAACCTGCGACGTGTGCTTTTTGTGATGAAGTCCACTCTGCGAGCTACAGAGGCTGTGAGGTTTATAAAAATCTCCATAAGCAGAGATCCCATATCTTTGCGTTAAGAAGCCAGAACCTTGCTCAGAAAAGTGACAGAAAACTGTACAAAATTGAAAATCTGGAAATGTTCCCGGCACTGGCGACAACACCTCAAATTACTCAACAGCAGCCATCAACCACTACACCGATGGGCTGTCTTCAACAAAATTCCACCAAGCAACACTCCTAAACCACCATCAAGAAGCAGCAAACTCAACATCAGACGCCTCAGATCTCGAAATCCAAGATTAAAACCACTTATTCTCAGCCTTCACGTCAATGAATCCTTCTTCATCATCTTCCCTAAAGGTCAAACTTCCGTCGGAGCACCCACATCCAGCAGCATCCCATTCTAATCCCCAGATGAACCTCCCCCCCCCCCATCCCATGTACCTCAGAAGTTTGACCCAATTCCTTGAACCCAACGACGGACCCAACCCCCTACCAATAACCCTAGTCGCACAAATTACCCACCACAACCAAATCCACTTCACAGACAAACGTCATCCAACATCAGTACTATCCTATCAACATTCCTGATAGACCTTCAACAGACTATCAAACCACTCATAACCCTTCTCACTAGATTCTTTTCCGAAATTCCGTTTAACTTTCCTCGATGAACACAAAACCCCAAGGAACCCACTTAAGGAACGCCAATGGACAACAAAACCACCATGACGAACTAAACATATTTCTTCATGACAATTACATTGCCATTGCCTTCCTGACGAAAGCTCATTTCTCACAACGATAAAACTTAAATATGTGACAACATCAATTACAGATCACCCAGATCACCATCATCTGACCATCCAGATAACACTTCCCATACCGGCTCTTGCATCCTTATCCATAAATCCATATCTCATTCCCTAATTCCTTCCACTCCGACTGACGCCATTCAATCAACCTCGGTAATCCTATCAACTTGCCCTTTCCACATTACAGTCCCAGCGGTGTACTGTCCTCCTGGGAAATCACTTTCTCATAGTCTTCTTGATTCCTTAATCCAATCACTCGGAACACTTTATTGCTGGAGGAAACTGAAATCCTAACACCAATGATGGGATTGTCGAACATCCAATCTTCCTGGTAATATCCTATATCATATCTCATCTTCTAATAGTTATTCTATCCTCTCGTCCATGAATCCTACTTATTGTCCAAATCAATTTAAAAAGTTCTGATATCCTAGATATATTTATCACCTCCCAGATTTTCTCTTCCCTGACAACAATAAAATTCTAGGATGAACTTTCATCAGATCATAGTCCAGTTCTGCTATAATTACATTCAAACCTCATTTCTAAATCCTCTCGATTTGGAAAATGGACTTTGGAAGACAAAACAAGACATTGACAAAGCCACAAAAAACTCACCACATCAATAGCAACTAAAATAAATGATAACACATCCATCATTAAAAATAATAACTCACGACATATTAAGTTGTCATTAAATATTAGAATCTTATTAAGAGAAAACGCAGAGCTAAACTACTGACAAATCTCTATGGACAACCACAAAAAAGCTTCTAAAGTTTAAAGACTTTAATCATCCACTATTAACTGAATTCCAAACCTGGTCCAAATCCGATGAAGAAAAGTCCTAACTATTTGGTTAACATTTCTTCGAACGAGAGGCGATTACCCTTCTTGTGAATCGGACAGATCATAGACTTTCTCCATGCTGATGGTATTACTTCATCCTCCCACACAGACATAAATAGGTTTTTATTATTTTTTATGTTTTCTTCTTAATGTTTATATTTTGTCAATCACGTGACCGCCGGTCACTACGTTTTTATGTAACTTTTATGTTTATTATTTCTGAGTCACGTGACCGTCACAATTTTTTTTATAGAAGTATAAACAATACACTATCTCTTATTGTTCTCCTTCACACATGAAAATGGGCTTTAATCCTAAAAAAAAATCTTATGATATAATCAATTATAACAGTATTTTCAATCCTTATCAAAGGATAAATAATGGACTTTAGTAGATAGGAAATGCCGGTTCTACTCCAACAATTTGCGAAGGAGAATTATACCATTATATCTCCAAGCTCCTTTCATTCAAATCCTATGTCTATGCCCGCAATACTTGTTCTAGGTCAGATCTTTACAATATGGCCAACCGATCCGCGGCATTCAACAGATCTTTCATTATCCGATCCTCACCCTTATGGAATTCCAATAACCTCCCCACATTTAAATTCCGCCAGTTCAATCAGTTCCTATTTATCCAATTCTCAAACAATTGTTTTTTTATAAGCTTATTTATTGAAAAATATTACAATCTGTCTCAAGGACATTTATAATAGTGTTCACAGATCACATTCACACTCTATGTACGGTAAATAAATCAAACAATTGTAAATATTTCTTTATGTAAATATGTTTATAAATTATTAATTTGATCTTAATTATCTTTTTTATCCTTAATTTATCAATGTTAGAGGTTGGCTTCGTAAATTAAAATATATATATATATATATATATTTCTGTTTTTTTATTTGAGGCTCTAAAGCCCACAATTATATTATTTTGTATTATTCTAAAGGGACTTGTCCAAGAATAAATAATGCATATTGTTATAATTATTATTATTATGAATTCATTAGAGGATGTAAGTTGCATTTTATGTAATAACCCTGATGCAAAAGCTTCTGAAGGGTCAGGTAATGACAATAAGTGTCCCGACTCACAATATTTTCTGAGCAGTAACTTTTACCGTTAATGACATTTATTTTGCAATCCATTGAAGGGTCAGTTATCGATCTTGCGGATGCTGAATATTCCCAAAAGGGTCTTTCTAATTTATACATTTACCAGCATCCTTCTTCCTTACTTAAGCTTGTAGATGCTGAATATTTTCGAAAGAGTCTTCCGACCATATAGATTTTCCCAGCTGCCATCTTGTTTACTTAAACATCACGCTACCTATTTCGGGTGCTAAATTCATATTGGCTAAGTGTGCCTGATAAATATTTTCATAGCAACCATCATGTTTGTCCTCGTTAAACCGTTAAAGCCTCAGGTATCCAATCAGGGCCGGTCAACCTGGGCAATTGCAATGGGGCGCAATCTCGGAAGGGGACGCTCGCAACTTGTTAGGAATTAAAAAAAAATCACAATGTGTATAAGAATAATTAACATTAGTCTAATAGTAAAGCAACTTAATTAGAAACATATTGAATGAAAAAACAACAAATATTAATTAATATAAAACTATTTAAGAAATGAATATTAACACTACTTAAAGTCCCTTCTGGCTATGACCGATGATCTCGCTGATCAAATTTCAACGAATCCATTCAGACTGAAAATTCCTACAGAACCTGACATCACCTGCATCATCATTCAATCTATTAAGTACCATTTCCATTAAATTCTTATTAACACATTAAGTTAAATGTATATAATAGGGGTAACTCTCAACAAAATCTTATATATATATATATATATATATATGTGTGTGTATGTATATATATACATTTTTTTTTTATAATAACAAACTGTTCGAATCAACGGAGTCATTCGTTAAGTTCTACCACTCTTATGGAATTGGAAATATAGCGCAACTGTTTTGTGAAGAATATCGAAATCGTCAATTAAGTCGAAAAAAGTTTGTTCGCACTAGTAACACTTTCATTTCCTCACTGATGTAGAAAGGACATATAATATATTTCACATAGTACTACACTACAATGCGGCTCAGTTCCACAACAGACTGTAGCATTGTCACCACAAAAGACACTTTTTCGAGGTCACAAGAGCACCTTAACCTACAATCGATTACAACAAACTCAATTTTGACAGTAAAAAGAACATTAAAGAAAACGTTAATACTGATAACTTGTGAATTTAGGTAGTATAGTCTCAAATTTATGTTTGTATTCTATAGAAACAACATAATTAGATTACAACCTATTTTAAATGAATATATCTTAATAAAAGTATTTTAACGATTTTGATTAAACTTACCGAGAAAATCTTTCTCTTAAAGATTTCTAACTTTTTATATATAGTACATACCAGAAAAAAAAAGATATGATAAAGATATTTTTATAGCATATAGCTGAAAAAGTATAAATTCTATATAAATTGAAAGAAAGTATTTGAATTGTCTACAGAAACCCATACATTTAATATTTTTTTCAGTTTCTTGAATAACTCGAAAACTATAATTCCAATAGTAATGATTTAATAATTAAATTTTCTTAAAAAAATAACTTGAACTTCATTCAGAAACAAAAAGGATTAAAATTATTAAATGACAAAAATTTGTATCTCGTTATATGTAAGATATGTTTAAGGTTTTTAAAATGATATCAATACCATTAATGGTTGTTCGATAATTTGCTACATAAGGCTTGATGTGAATTTATATTAAAGAAGTATCTTCAAAGTCAAACAAATTGTTTTACCACTAGCTATGACTCTTGTCACATTCCTCCTCTTCGTAGGGGTTTTTTGCCCATCCTTCTTGACTTCTGTTATCAGGAATTGGACATGGTCGCATTGCGTTTTGTCTTTTATTATATCCATCTCAATGTCAGTGTTGTGTAGTCGGCATGCGACGGTCTAAAACAAAAACCATAAACTTAGTGAAGGAAATATTAATTCGATTAAATATTAAAACATAAATATAATGAGTTAAATTAATAGTTGACTCATCTCCCTAATTGAGCAGTGGTGCAACAATTGACGCATCAAAATCAACGAATCCAAATGCAAGCATGTCACCTTTACCCTCCGAGGCAGATCCTGTCCTTTTCAACTCTGTACTTCTTCCCATCACTGACACAGATCGATATCTTGGATTCCTTTTAGACAGAAGACTAACATGGAACCACCGTGCTAGATTTAATAGACAAGAGCTTAACCGACGATTTGATCACTTATATGGAGTACTCAACAGAAACTTTAATATCCCAATAGAGAACAAATTATTAATATAAAAGACCATACTAAAACCCATCTGGACCTACTGTCTTGAACTATGTGGGACAGCTAAATTTCCGAACATCAAATGCATCCAGTCTAAAGTCCTTCGTACAATTGTAAATGCTTCTTACTATGTTACGAATAAAACTACATCATGACCTTCAAATCCCTTATTTCCTTGACGTTATTCCATTCCGTTTCTCCAATTTTCATCAGAACCTGATCTATCATCCTAATACCTTAGAACAATCCTTATCCAGTTCCAATCATCCCTACAATCCTCCAAGAAGGTTAAAACGCCAGTGACCTCGAGATCTTTTGTAAAAACGTCACTGGAGTCTTGGTAATGGCCACCTCCTCCACTCAAGTGATGAGCGTATGTGGCTTTGGTGCCCTCCCTCAGTCTGCATTGGATTCCCATCCCACTGATGCGGCAGGGAGAGAAGCGCTGGGATCTCTTATAGTCTTGCCTAATCCTCCACACCTGTGGTAAAGGGTCTGATTGGGAGCTCCCTCGGCTGACTGTAAATATTGTAAATAAGAATGTTCCGATGAATGTTCCCGGGCCAATGGGTAAGGGCAGGGGATTAATGCCACAGTTAAAAGACCCGCGCGTACGCGAACTCGGTATTTTTTTATCACATAAATCGTCTATCTGAGTTGCCGGGCAACGAGCGATGCTGTGCACATGCGTTAGCCCGCTCGGCCAACCCCTACCTCCTCCCCTCCCCCCCATCCATTGTATAATTGTATATCAGCAGATCCAGGAGTAGTATGAGCTTTCAGGGTCGATAACAGCTTAAAACATTTCAAGAGAATGTTTATACGTTACCATGCGAGGTACTTGATACTGCTTAGGCAACCCCATGAATTTATTTTAAAAAGTAGTGGCTCGTGACACTCAATCACCAGTCTGGAGTGTCAGGAAGTTTGAATTTAGGGTTCTCAACCCCTAGAAAGTTGTCATCACCTCGGCTCTGGATTGCATCACAGTAAGCCTACTTCCCATCCCTTCACAGTGAGCCCCTGACTCGATTTAAGGATGCTGTCTTTGACCCTGTGAACTAGGTTTATCCGCCATCATCCCAATTTTGTATGCCCTACTGCAAAAACTATCCTAACCTTGCCACAGGTTAACCGCAGGCAGCTATATCAACACCCCATTTATCGTTCGTTCACCTACCGTATCCTTCGCAGAAATTGGTTATTTCCACCTCAATGTGGGTTGCTCAGATCCATCAGGTGAAGATGAGAGTAAAGTTAGGAAGGAGAGACTGGATAGCCGCTTGCAGTCATATATTGGGCATTTCTCCACATATGTGCCCAAATGAAGTGGGTTAATGGAGGGATAATAACAAAGGAGTCAAGGTTACCCTGGAGAATGTTGTATGCACGGGCCACAGTTTTAGAGATTTTTGAAATTTTCTGAGGGGCCAATTTTTACGGAGCTTTTAATCGGAGGAAACCATATCTTTATGGTCTTTTAATTAAGGAAAACTTTTAAACCACATAACTATTATAAGTATAACATCAACATTTATTCTCTTTCTACTTTTGCCTTGCCTTTTATTTAAGAAAAGGAGAGCATTACATTTTTTTGAAGGGGAGGACATGCCCATCAACGTTAGGAGAGATGGGCATACCTGCGAGGAGTAGCTGTCATGCAACGGTTACAATAAATTTGTTTATTGTGGTTAACAGATAGCACACTAACGGAATAAGCAACTCTCTTCTTTTAACTTTTCCCTTTTTCTCTGTCCCCTTGTTCTTGTTGATTTTGTTTTGTTAAAGGGAAGGTGTAAATCTAGGTATACAAGGGAATAGTGTATATCTAGCGTTAGATGGGCCACTTGTTTGTATACCCTCTTTATCTTGTATATAAGAAATAGAAATAAATTTCATATTTATAAATTAACTCCTAAAAAAATAGGGTAGCTTGAATATTTTTGAGAAAGGATAAAACCGTTGTTAAAATAATAATTAGTATAACATAAGAATTCTAGAACAAATTAAGAATCACTAGATACACTTCTAACCATGAATAAGCACGATCCATTCATATATTTTTTTTCTCAATTCCCATTTTTGGATTGTTTTCTCAGAACTAAATTTTCTGAGAAGAATGATTAATTTTGGTAACTTTAATGAACATTTTGGTTTCGTTAATCTTAATTCTTAAAAGATGCTGGTGATCCGCGAGTAGAAAGCCTCTTGATTTAGAATGTCTAATCTATCACTAATAAAAAATCCTCTAAGCAGTTAAATAAGAAAATGTCCTTGCTACTAAAAAATTGGAAAGCTAAAATCTTACCAACCGACAGTTTTTTTAACAAGTATCTGCTGTCCTATTAAATAGATAGCACATCTTATCTATTTTGAATACATTTTTAATAAATACATTTAATTTAAATAACTATATTGTAGCTAAAACTATTAATTTGATAAGACGGAACATTTAAGAAAGTTGGAAAAGACAAACACATATAGGTCAAACCTAATCTTCAAGAGATGAGATGGTAACATGGCCCAAATACCTATACGATTATATATATATATATATCTGTAGTATTATAAATTACTATATAACCAATGTTGTAAGCTTGCAATCCCACGTATAAATTGGTACTAAATCAATTTCTTAGTAAATTATTTAATAACATTTAAGTTATTTTAAATATATTTATTGAATCCTATAATATTTATCGGAGATTCGGTGTTTTTTTATAAAAATTTGCTTCTTACAATCTATCACATATACTATATCTTAAAAGCGTAAAATTAAAACATTTATAATTTTTTTTTTTATTATTTATTAGGCACCAGCTCCTCAATCATCCCTTCTTTAATAGTAATCATTTTTCTTTTTCCACATTCCCCATGCAACCTCCTTAAATCCACTAGTAAATCCCAAACTAACGATTTCGCACCAGATAAAATCCCAGTTAAAATTATTAAATCCTCACTTCCATTCACTCTCCCTATCCTCTATCATATCTATAACTTTTTGTTACAAAGTTCCAATTTCGCGAGTAACTGAAAAACTGCTCTTATTCGTCCGTTGAATAAAACCTCAAATCCCGCAACCCTTAATGATTTCTGCCCAATTTCTCTGTTATCTAACCTTTCCAAACCTTTGGATCCCAATTATCCCACTATATCGAGGTAGTCTTAATTATAAAAATTAAATAATAAAAATTGGTAACATGAGGGAGAAAAACTTTATAGAAACACTTCTTGATCATTTTTCGGACCTAAACATTGAAAATGCTCTGGATGTGCCGGATATAATAATACCCCGATGAACCAATGTCAAACCAACTATAGATACCTCGATTGCCAGACATAAAAAGGATATGGCACTTCCAGTTGAAGTTCAAAAACTATTTTTAGAAAAATATAAGGAGTGTCACATCTTGTATACGGATGCCTCAAGAGGAGATAAGGAAGTAGGATGTTCCGTTATAAATTGTGATAATCGAAAACTATTCAAAATTCCGGAGGCTTGTTCAGTATTTACTGGTGAAATGATTGCAATTAGAGAAGCTCTTAAACACATAGAGACAAGTGAAACTACCAATTGGGCAGTGGTGACAGACTCTGTGAGTTCATTACTAGCCATTGAACATGCCAGGCCCAAAACCACTCTCGCAAAAGATATAAGAAACGTGTGGAGGCTACTAAGGGAGAAGGGCAAAGAAGTAGTGTTCATTTGGGTCCCTTCGCATTGCGGGATCATCGCTAATGAACAAGCAGATCAATCAGCAACATGGCAAGAAAGCCAGATATAATATCCATAAAATCAATTAATGAAATCCCTCTAGAGGATTAAGTTAAAAAAATTAAGTAAAATGTGTGGAACATGTGGCAAAACAAATGGAAACAAGGAGAATCGAAACTAAAAGAAATTAAACTCCACTGTTTAAAATGAGAAACATCTCACCGATCATCCCGAAAAGAGGAGACAACCCTTTGCAGACTGCGAATTGGACATTGTCAGTTCTCGCACTCCTACCTACTAAGAGGACTTGATCCTCCGACCTGCAAGAGCTGCAATGTCCAAAGGACAGTAAAGGACATTATTCAAGACTGCCCTTCATTTGAACATACAAGGAAAAAGTTAGAAATGGCACAGAGTCTAAAACAAAACCTACAATACAGTGAAAGTGCAGTCAAAAAAACTTTAAGGTTATTAAAAGAGATAAAACTCTACAACAGAGTGTAATTTAACCCCTACAGGGCAGAGGCAACAAAATATCAAATAAATAAATAAATAATTATAAAAATTAATTTTTTGTTCTAAAAAATAAATTTCCTTCATGTTAATTTTATTTAGTTTAATTAAAATTGTACATGATTCATCAATCTCAAAACAAAAACTCATGTTTTTATCAGCCACAGGTCGAAAATTAAAGCATATGAATATTCTAGTTATTATACTAGTAACCTGGAGGAAGTACGTGGTACCAGTAGTGAATAAAACATGTGCCTCATCTCAATATGGAGCTGTTACATTCACGCCCAAGGATATATCCTCATTTTTTATAATTTACGCAATCTTTATTTTATTTCAGAAATGTAATTTATTTTACTATACTATACTTTAGTTTATAATTTTCTTTTAAGTTTATGATTAGTATATAATTTAATTTGTTAATAATTTTTTTTAATAATACAAAACAGTCAAACTTAGTTATTATGTCTTTTGTTTATAGCACTTGAGTTGAACTTTTCATTTATCCAACAACAAACCTACATAGCAAGAGGATAAGATACCTTGACAATGCCGATAACGATGTGTTCCAGTCCTGGCCTGTCTGAGTAATAGTGGAGTATGAGGTTACCATCGTCGACCTCCGTGCAGCGGAAGGATGGGGCTCGCATACCGGGATAGAGGGTTCCCAGATGATCATGGAGAGCGTCCAAGTTCTGCAATATACAATAATATTACATTAATATTTCTTCTTTTTTTTTATATTTGTTTATTCAGAAATATCACATTCTGTCACATCAAGGACATTTGTAATAGTGTTCAGAGAACACACTCACACTCTATTTACAATAAATAAAAAAAAAAAAAAAAAAATAATAATAATAATACAGAAACTTAATAATAATAAATACAATAAAATAAAATAAAAATAAATACAATAAAATAAAGTAAAAATAAATACAATAAAATAAAATAAATGTATATAAACAAAAGAACTAACCTAATCATACACACTCGGGCTTGAGTGGAGGATCTGGCCATTGCCAAAACTCCAATAGATGCTTATTTACAAAAGGTCTCTGGGCCACTACCGCTTCACCCTTCGAGGAGGATTGTAAGGATGGGTGGTGCTGGATAGAGATTGTGCAAGGGGATTTGGATGATAGGTAAGGTTCTGGTGAAATTTGGAGAATTTTTCTGGAATAAAGTCTAGGACAAATGGGATATTAAGGTCATGGTGTAGGATTTTGTTATTTACATAGAACGGAGCATCAACTATTGTTCGAAGGACTTTAGATTGAAAGGATTGAATACGTTTCATGTTAGAAGCTTTTGCTGTCCCCCACAGTTCAAGTCCGTATGTCCATATAGGTTTCAGTATTGTCTTGTAGATAAGTAATTTGTTTTCAATAGAAAGTTTGGATTTTCTGTTTAGTAGTCTGTATAGCTGGCCGTATCGTCGGTTGAGTTCTTGTCTTTTGAGTCTAGTATGTGGGTTCCACGTTAGTCTTCGGTCTAAATGAAAGCCAAGATACCGGACTGTGTCTGAGTAAGGAAGCTGGATGGAATTAAAGTGTACTGGTGGACAGGAACTGCGTCGGAGTGTAAAGGTAATATGTTGGCATTTAGATTCATTAACTTTAATGCGCCAGTTATTACACCAGTGCTCAATCAAGGTGAGGTGGTTTTGGAGATTTAAGGATGCTATGTTGGGATCTGAGTCGGATGATAGAATGGCGGTGTCATCAGCAAAAGTTGCCAGGAAGGTATCGGGATGGACAGGGATATCGGCGGTAAAG